GAGCCCTCTTCACCTCCTCTCTGATAAACTCCACCCCACCCCCAAGGAAGTTCTTCATCAACAGCTATCATTTTTATACCCAAAGCACATTATTTGTAACCACCATGCCCTGGCTTGTAGAGCTGCTGGGTGGGGGGAAGGGGCGGGCTGAAGACAAAGCCTTCTCACAGCTCCAGGAACACGCCTCTTCCATTCTCAGGAAACTCCCTTCTGTTAAGGGCTGCCTGACCTCCCAGACCAGAAGATCAGTCTTCTGAGCCGGTCCCCAGGTCACGGTCCTCTTCTCCATCCTGATTCCAGCCATCAGACAGAATTATTAGTGGCTGGGCTGATGGCCCACCCGACACTCTAGGATGCGTCACAGTTCTCAGAATTATTAGTGGCCGGGCTGATGGCCCACTCGACACCCTAGGATGCATCACAGTTCTCAGATTCCCCTTTTCTGTGGTTGCTTCCCCTCCAAAGTCCCAGTCTCCAATCCAATTTTCTGTTTGATTATACATGCGCATATTACCACCTGCCACCTCCACGCCTTCCCACTTGCCCCCCTTTTGGTGCTTTACTGATCTGGCTTCTCTTACGATCCGGCTGAGACCCCATGGCCCGTCTCCAGCAATCTCGAGTGACCGTGCCCTTGAGACACCCCTACCTTACAAAGCCTGACCCTGGCCCAGGCCACTTTTTCCATTCTACGTTCTTGGCAGCTGAGCACCGCAGAGGGAAAATCAAAACATGGCACCCAGCCATAGCAATTCAGTTTCCCATCTCAAATGGGTTTCAAAGGCTTCCCTCCATCTTCTTACTTGGCTGTGGTCAGTTCCCTCAGCCAGCCTTCCTAGTGTTAACACTAACAAAATAGGAGACATGACCTATGGTGAACAGAGCTTCCAAACAATCTTGAGGATACGGGATAAAGCCTGAGAAGAAAAAGAAGGCTAAATGTTAAATGTAAACTAGTTCTAACACTGTATGTCCTTAGGTTCCAAGTCCATTCCTTTCATCCACTAGGAATGTTACTGCTAACTTTTCCTAATTCTTGTAGATGTTTAGTTTGACAAATGAGGTGAAGGGTGAGCCCACAGGTAAAAACGGCTGGTTTTCAATCCCTCACGTCCAAGCCACCCTTCAGACTTCTTATACTTCATTAGTGAAACAAACAAAACTTTTGTTTTCACTTTAATTTATTCTTTGTAAAGTGACAGCATACAGACAAACCACAGAAGCTTTAGACATAGTGTTGACCAGTTTTAAAACTGTAACAGCGAGTAACTGTTTTACAGCAAATAACATTTACACCGACTCCTCATCTTGTTATACAAAGGCATTAAGAACACACACAGTTCTAATTCCTTATAAACCTATTTGTCAAGCAGCAAGATGACAATACACCGTAGCATAGCACAGAACGTTTCCTTCAAGAAACCAGAGCAGCGATATTTGGTTAATGGTTATGCATAGAACTTAAAGGGTAATAAACACTTGTCATAAAGCAAGTGACACATGTACATTAATGAGTGAAAAATGTTAATTTTTATTAATATAAGATAAAATGTTGCTCTTTATGCTTTAAGTTAAAAACTATAGAATACTTTAAAAGCAGACAATACAAGGTGCTTTCATTTTAGACTCCATATCAAAATACCACTCCATTAATTGCTTCAGAACCCATAACCTTTGAGTACTGCTCATTGGCTTTTTAAAGTCAACCTGAAATATAAAAGCACTTCAAGTTTACCAGTCAAAGCTAATGTTACACTGGTTACATGTTACATTAAAACATAGCTTTTAAGAAAAACTGAATTTAAAAATACTGCAGCATGGAGCTCTAAAAAGTAAAAATGCACTACTTTCAAACCTTTCAACACATTTTGGTTCAAAATGCCCTATTTTGTAAAATCATTACTTACTATATTCCCAACTTTCAGTTAAAATGACAGGTTGAAGTTGGTTTTAAATCTGATAATATCTAAAGAAATGGGTCAGCATGTAAATTGGCTATCCACCACAAAATGATGTTCCCACCATGAAAACATCACTACAGAGACCCATTGGATGAATGTAAATCTTAAAAACTTTATTTAACAGCATCACACAAATATTTAGTGTCTTTTGGCCTTGAAATCAGAGCAATGCTACCAATAAATCTGATATATGCAATTTTCACAGAAGTTTCAGAAGCAAAAGAAGAAACACAATTTATAAGTAGTTGGTTGGACAGAAATGAAAGCACCCAGCAGAGTCCTCTCATTTTAGAATTAATCCTCCAGCGAGGGCATCCGTGGTCACCATCACTGTTAGAGAGCATTCAGAAAAGACTAATACTTGGTTTGTTTTTTCATGCTCAGAACCCTCCAAGCTTCAAAATCAACCACAGGCTACTAAGAAAATGAAAATGCACTTATGATGAGCTCTGTAAGTTCAGCTACAAAAGCACTAAAACAGGAAAAATAAAAACAGAAACACTATATCACACAAATAACTGTGTTAACTATTTCTCTTGCCTCTCTCAGTGGCCTTAGAAATAGGGACTATGATGAGCCTATTAAGAAAAGAGGTGTGCGGGGCGGGGGGGATGTTTCAAACAAAGGAATCAGTTTGTAGAATTTTCATATTGGCAGCAGCAACTTCTTTTTACTTTCCTAAGAGTTAAAACATGGCAGAGTGTGAGCTATTAATATGCTTTGGGCATACTTCCCAAGCAAGCTAAGCAGAATATTTCTTAAAATTCTATTTTTAAAGACATCCATAAAAGCATAAATATTAATAAATAATACCAACATGTACATCTTTTCATGGATTAAATTGTGGATGACCCTTGCATATTTTAGGGGTTATGTTGGCCATCATTCTTAATACTGACACAATAGGAAGCTTTCCAGCTACTAAAAAAGTTCGTCAGCAACTATTATCTAACCTAAGACATCTACTACAAAGCAGAATCCATAGCTCCAAATATCAGGCTGTGAAAGATCCAATTCAAATATCCTCCCAGCACCAAGAAGCATGACGTTTGGCCCTACCTGATGAGCACTTTAAATTTAGCTAGTACGAAAGCATTAAAATGAATGCTTGATCAATATAGTCACATAAAGGTAGAAAACTGTATCCAGTAAGGAAATAAAGACAGTGCCCCGCTCTCAGCTGCTGGGGACCGCTCCCCTTAGCAAATATTGAAAAGTAAAGTTAAACTCTGTAAATTCCCTTTTAGTACATGCAGAAGGCCCCAACAACAGCACAGGTGTTCATCAACTCGGGGCGGATAGGTGACCTGTTAATAAACTATCAGCATGGAGTCCGAGGCATCAAACAAAATTACACAGTGCTAAAATAGAGGTGATACTCTATAATGGCTAGTTCTTGAGAAACAAACGTTTAAAACGTAGAGAGAACTTAAGATTAATAAAATAAGTTGGCTTTGCAATTTATTTTCATATAAAGCAGGCAACACTAAATGGGAAAGTTCTTTAATGCATAGCTCTCTTTCCCAGGAAACACTCAGTCCAAAGTTCAGTGAAGACAAACAAGGGAACATGGCAAGAATCATTTTACAGTAAAGCAGGCATTTTCACCCACTCTCTCAATACCCAGCACCTCGGAGGCCTTGTCACTGAATTGCTGTCTGTTAAATATTTTCTCCATGGCACATGCCTTGAGCATGAAGTCCTCCCATGGGCAAGGAGTAAGGAAGCCTATCCTTCCTGAAGGAAGAGGACAGAACCCAGACTCCCACATTTCTACCCTAGAATCATGAACAGGGTGCCCCAAAATGTGTCTCAGAGGATAGCTATTTTAACAATATGGTAAGAGTCACAATTAAGTTCCCCAATAAAGAGTTGCTATCCTAGGAATAAAAATAAATTTACAGACTATTTTTTTTCCCCTAACCTAAGATACCATCGACGGTAAGATGCACCATATATATCACTAAGAAAAGACACAGGCGATTCAACTATGACACAATGCTTTTGTATTCTGCAGAAAGTCTAGCTTTCTGATTTACTAGAACAGAGCTTTTAAACAGGTATTTATCGCATCAACCTTGAGCACGTGTCAAGGAAGTGCATGACGAAATAAGCTGGTTAAGTGATGACTATAACGTCGTAGTCTAACTCAGAATCGTTCAGATGGGCATCTGCGTTCCTCCAGACCACAGCCCCCTGGGCATCATCGAGAGCGCCGGGGATGGAGCACCGCTTTAAACGGCGCTCGGGCACCGCCCGTGGGTTAACGTTAGCGGAAAGCTTTGGACGCAGTGAGGTTTGACGCCTCAAAGACAGCCCTGCTCGGCGCATGAATCGATCACACCAGCCTCTGGTGGCTTTGAACTTCGCTTCGTCTATTCCGAGGGCTTTGGCAATTTCTCCGGCCTTCAGCTGCATTGCTTGGCGTGTGATGGGCAGTCCTTTTGCACGAGTCTCCCTGACAAAGTGTAGCACGCCCTCGTCGACCTGCGGGTATCTTCCTTTCTTAGGGCCCGTAAAGCACTTTGTGGTGGCTTTACAGGAAAATATGGAGTTTCGGTCGCTCCTCCAGCGACGGATATTTGCTTCGCTGATATGGAACGCACGCCCCGCTGCTCTGTTCCCGTGCTTTTCTGCATACACAATGACTTTTCGTTTCAAGGCTGAATCATAGTGTAATCTTTTTGAAGGCATTTTTAAAAGCCAATTAAACCTGCCACATTTGATACCAACAATCAGTAATAATGCTATGACAAGCCTGAGGTTCACATGTGCCCAGGCGAGGGTAATTACATCATGACTGTTGCCAGGTTGACTGTAACCGTGAGATCTATCCCAATTTCAGACAAGGCATGATGCGGGGGCAGAGGGGGAGGGGAAACATGGAACAGAATTAACATTAATAAAATATGGTTTTTCAAGCCTGTAATATTTATCAGATTAACACCAGTGCAAGAAAAAAAGCCCAAGGGTGAAAGAAAAAGTATATATGTTGAAGCAAATAAGCAAAAATTATCTTAACGATGAAATCCGCAATGGTCCAATTTGGTTGAAATTCCCTTTATTTGCATATGGCTTACATGTAAATCTTTTTTTGAACTGGACTTAGAATCCAAGAATGAATGTTCTTCATTTCTTTAGCAAACTGCAAAGCCCAATCATTACAGAGAGACTCCCAGAACCCTTGGTCATTCGCCATCACAGGACCGGCTGGCTCAGTGGCCTTCATCTGCAGGGGCCCTCCTCTGGCGAGCGGACCTGATCCTGTGCGGAGACGGTGAAGCATCTTCTTCAGTCTCAGACCCTGAAGGCTCACGGTCTCCCTCCTGGGATCCAGTGTCTCCCACCAGTTCCCGAAGAAACTTGAATTTTGACAAAAAAAGATGCCAAACAAAATACCAACCTAAAGAGAGATAAAAAACATTCAGAAAAATTATTATGCCCAGCATTATCAATTGGGAACATTTCAGTTAACTCTGTGTCAGGGGTATACTACAAAATAGGATGCATAATTTAAACATGTAAGTAATTATAATTTATGTAACAAACAGTTATCAAGCATTTACGATGGACAAGGCATAAAGACAAACTCTGGGATTACATGGGACGCCCATGACCAAGTGCACAAATTTTTGCACTAACATGTTTTCACTTCTCCTAGGTATAACAACTGACCCCCAAAACAAGGTCATGGTTAGATCTTCCTCACCTTTGAAAATCCGTCTGTAACTTTACAGTAGGCCCACCATATCCATAGTTCCACACCCAAAGATTCAACCTCAGATCATGTACTTAACTGCAGTATGTATTTAGTGCAAGAAATTCACATATAAGTGGACCTGCACAGTTCACACCCGTGTTATTCAAGGGTTCACTGTACACCAAGGGGTAGAGTTGGCAGGTCACATGGCAACTTTCGCATAACCATCTGTGAAATTGCTAAGGTCCTGTCCAAAGCAGCTGTGCCACTTTACATGCCCATCAGAAATTTAAGAGGCTCTCAATTTCTCCACATCCCCACCAAGACTTCCAATTTTCCACCTTTTTTATTATAGCCATCCTAGCAGGTATGAAGTGGTATATCGCAATGGCTCTTATGATGGCATTTCCCTAAAGACTAAATTTGCTGACCATCTTTTTCTTGTGTTTACTGGCCACTTGTAAATCTTCTTTGGAGGAATGTCTATTAAACTTCCCTGCCCACTTTACAATCAGCTTGTCTTTTTACTGAGTTGCAGGAATTCTAAATACATTCTTGATACCAGTTGTTTATCAGACATATGATCTGCAAACATTTTTTCCTCATTCTGTGGGCTGGTCTTTTCATTGTCTTGATCACATTCTTTGAAGTATGGTAGTTTTTTAATTATGATGGAGTCTAAGTTAGTTTTTATTTGATGAAATCCAATTTGTTTTGTTTTTCTTTGGTTGCTTATGCTTTTGGGTACCATATCTAAGGAACCACTGACTAACTCAAGGTCATGAAGATTTATGCCTTCACATTCTTCTAAAGGTTTTAGTTTTAGCTCTTACACATAGGTCTTTGATTGATTTTATTTAACTTTGGTGTAAAAGATCCAAATTAATCCTTTTGCATGTGGATACTAAATTGTTGCAGAACTATTTGTTGAAAAGACTGTTCTTCCCTCTATTAAACTGTCTTGGCAATTCTGTCAAAATTCCAATGATCATAAATGTTATAGTTTATTTCTGGGCTTCCCTTGTGGCTCAGCCGGTAAAAGTATCCACCTGAAATGTGGGAAACCTAGGTTCCATCTCTGGGATGGCAAGATCTCTTGGAGAAGGGAAAGGCTACCCACTCCAGTATTCTGGCCTAGAGAATTCCATGGACTGTACAGACCATGGGGTCACAAAGATCTATTCCATTGATCTGTCTATCCTTATGCCATACATACATCAAATTAATTATAGCATCTTTGTGTTTAGTTTTAAAATCTAGGGTATAAGTTCACGAACTTTGTTCTTTTCAAGACTATTTTGGCTATTCTGAGTCTTTTGCATTTCCATGTGCCATTTTCTTGTCAATTTTTGGAAAAAAAATTGCAAGAATTTTGACAGGGATTGTGTTGAATCTGTATGTCAATGGGGGAACCTATACTTTTTTATGATACTTCTAAAAATTTTTCCACAGTGGACACAGAAAAATTTTTGACAACTGGAAAAATCAGGAGAAAAATAAGTCAGAAACCAACAAATAAATCATGAGTACTCTGTAGACTTCTCATTTTAAATACCCCAATACCATTAATTGGCCTAAATAAGCCCAGGTGATTTCAAGATACTAAAGAAAACCTCTCAGGTTAATTTTGAGAACTCAACCTAAAAGTTAAGTGCTAAATAGATATTATGAAGGTGAATTTACCATCAGGAAAATTACAAGCAAGCTCAATCAAAGATGATGATAGTCTTGACCTCATAAAGATCAAAGATTCTAACAGTGGCTATTAGGTATAAAATGAGCAGAAATTTAGAATGTAAAAGGAAGTAGCTGGAACTCTTGACTGAAGAGGAAAGGGCTGTCACCAGTGGGGCTCCCACCATAAAATATTTTTGCCCTTGGGATGGTTCAGAGAAAGTCAAGTCCCCCAGCATAAGGAATCTGCAAGAAAGGAACTGAAGACCACCTTCAGCAGTCAGTCTCAAGAGATAGAAATAACTGTATTCAGTGAGATCACAAACTCTTTCTCAATTTTAATAAAACACATCCAAAACAAAAGACTTAAAAAAAAAAAACCACTGCCAGCAACCAAACAATATAAGGGATTCAATCTGAAGTGAAAATTCAGAATGCGGTAGCCGATCAGACTCCAGGGGCTGGGGTAGCAAGTTAACAGCCTCCACACTCGACACTCCCCTCCCCATCACACCAGCTAAAGCACGTCACACCTCTTTAATTATTACCTGCACCTGCAGTTAAGCAAACCTGAAAAGCAGCTCATTTTTCCCTATTCTGCCTGGGTGTGAGTGAGGGTTGCACGTGGAGGAGCATGTGGGCAGGGACACTGCTTCCCATGAAAACTCATGAGGCAGAGGAGTCTCCCTAATACAGATGTGGAGCTCATCCGCTGGGCAGCCAAAGAAACAGCCACTGTGCTGCCTTTCTCAGTGGCTACTGTAATGACAGGGTGAGAAAGCAGAGTCAGAAAGGGAAATTGTAGCGGTGAACCCTGAACAACCAAGAACTGCAGGGGTATTCGCTAGATTCGGGGAAGTTCACAAGTTATTCTCCAAGTAAAGACTAAGTTCTCACAGAGCTATAATTCTAGGGAGACGGCAGGAGAGGGGGGTTCTATCTCCCAGCACTTAGAGCTGGGAAGAGCTGGTGCTTAGGCAACAGACCATTCATCAGTGTTAACTGTCTGAACAGAGGATGACACTCAAAATGCCAGGCAGTTTGAATGGAAACACAATCACACATTTATTTTGGAAAAGGAAGGACTACTAAAACTCACAATAGGTATACTGGAAAAGTGTGACTTAGCAAAGAAGTTAAGAGAGGTACCACAATGCCAGATAAAACTGCTGATAGTTACTGGCTATGTTTATTAGACCTGGAAATAAAAACAGCTTTTTCTCTGGGCTTCCCTGGTGGCTCAGCAGTCCAGACTTCACCTGCCAATGCCGGAGACACAATTTAAATCCCTGGATCAGAAAGACCCCCTGAGAAGGAAATGGCAACCCACTCCAGTACTCCTGCCTGGGAAAATTCCATGGACAGAGGAGTCTGGCGGGCTAGAGTCCATGGGGTCGCAAAGAATCAGACACGACTTGGCGACTAAACCATAACAAACACCTTAACTCTGAGATAGGTACTGTGAGGAAATGTTCTGCACGGGTCATTTATGGCCAAACTGCTGTTCACTATATACTGTCTTTCTACATACTTCTGACACGTCACATTCCCTACAGGTAAGGTAGGATCTGCTGAGGCTGGAAGTCCTATTCTCCCTTTTAAGCAGAAGAACATGTCTAAGCGGAAAGCAATTTTGAAAGCATTTATTTATTTTCCAATGGGAATGACCCCCAGTTAAAGACATGTGAGGACCACACAGTGCATCACTCAAATTGGCTACTCACCATGCCCTGCGTGGGAGCCTGGAGAAGCTACTGATTCCCAACGGCTCACCCCAGACACTGCAAATCAGTCTCCAGGATTGTGCTTGCTCATCCTTTCTAAGCTCCCTAGATGATTCTGATGCACAGGTAGGTGTGGAAAAGAGAAGTCACGAAGAAGAAATATGAGTGCTACAGCGGATCAGTTACAGCAAGTGGCCAAGGAAAAGGAGAAAAGGCTCGGCGGAAGGAGCAGGAGAGAGGCAGGATACTCCTGACACCGAGTATCCACAGCTCCTCTGCCGCTGCGGGCCAGTCGCGAAGTCTCTGCCACCCCACGGACTGCAGCCCGCCAGGCTCCTCTGTCCACGAGATTTTTAGGCAAGAATACTGAATGCCTACAGAGCCTCTTGTAGAAGTGTAGCTCATACAGTTCCTCCCACCCAAACCTGATATGCAGACACCAGAAACTCTACCTATTTTTATTCCATAGACCATGGGTCTCCTATCTTGTCCTGGGATTCTAAGAGGAAAAATGGATGGAGGGGAAGAGGGATAACAGAAAGAGGGGGCAGGAAGAAGGACTGTCCAAAATTAGATGCACTAACAGTAAAAAATGTACACTAACTGTTAAACAAGTACCGTAGCTTTCCACAGGTTAAAAGGCAAGTCTGTGTGTCAGGTACACTGGCTGGCAACAGAGGTTGTGTATCCTGGGATAAGCAAAGAAGTACTCACCTTGTGTGTGCCAGTACCCAAGCATGAGTTCAGAGGGTGCATTTCAGGAAAGCGCACGGTGTATCATCTCTGTATGCAAGATAGAGGGGATTCCCCGGCGGCTCAAACAGTAGAGAACTCACCTGCCAATGCAGGAGCCCCGACTTCAGTCTCTGTGTTGGGAAGATCCCCTGGAGAAGGGAATGGCTACCCACTCCAGCATTCTTGCCTGGAGAATTCCATGGACAGACGAGCCTGGCGGGCTACATCCATGGGGTCAAAAAGAGTTGGACACGACTGAGCAACTAACACAACAATAATGCAAGATACATGCGCTGGCAGCAGAAGGTTAGCAATGGCAGATGAACCCAAATAATGAACCATCACCATCAACATGCCACAAACCCAGAGGACAGTTGCAATCACAGAGTTCTCAGTTCACCAAGTGCTTTTACATTCAGCATTTAATACTCTCATTAGCCCTCTGAACTAGTGAGACTAGAAATCATTATCCCCATTTTCTAGATAAGAAAAGAGGCTCAAAGTAACTCATCACCATGGAAGAGGGCATGATCAGCAAATCAGAGCAGTGAGTTCACCAGTTCAGTTCAG